AACCTCTCCCGAGTAATAGTAAAACAGACCAAGTAACTAACCAAGAACAACGGAAAACCCTTCTTTTGACAAGGCAGAAGCAGCAGCTGCACCAAGACCAGACGTTGCCTGATCACAACGAACAAAAAAGAGAGAAAAAAAAGTCCAGTCAGACATAAAAACAAACAGTTTCCGTGCATCTAGTCTGAGAAAGCTACCGTTGATTAGAGAGAGGGAATCCAAACGAAAGCTTACCCCTGTAACGATGCAAACAGGCCTGGTAGGCGAATTTCTGGGAAGCTCACTACGCTGATAAACCTCGCACCTCCCAGTAATCCTTCTGAGTACCAACTGCCAGTAGGAAGCCAGAAGCGACACTGTCCAACACAATCCCATCGCCCAAAACTCCGCTGAAAACATAAAGCGCAGAGCGCAGCTAATTTCCTTCATCCCTGCTGTCCAATCCTTCCCTTACCAGAGTAATCTCAGTAGCTCCGTCAAATGTTCAGCAATGGCGGCCGGATTCAGAGCGGTAAGAGCCAGTTCCAAAACCAACCCGATCCCCAGTTCCGGAAAGATACGAACTTTCCCTGCGAATCCTAATCAAAACCCTTTCTTCCAATCACCCAAATCAGATATTTAACAGCAGCTGACGAACAACAAGTAAAAAACCCACGGTTGGAAGCAAGGAAAGTTCCCCTCTAGTTACCCGCCTTGTTCTTGCGCAGTGAAGTTTCCAACTTGAGTAGAACCAAGTAAACCGCCACACTGCCGGAATAGGAATCAACTAATCGACTTCCAGTGATCGTATCGAACTTCCAATTCCACAAAATCCGTATACAGGCGGAGGAGTCAACGATGGAAATTCCCACAAAATTCGAATAAAGAAGGTGGAGAAGAAAGCGAATGGGAACGGCGCCAAGCCAAGAAGGTCTGATGTGTTTTCTCCACTGCCCGACTTCGTTTCGAATCGGGTCTGGGCCTGGGCCTGAGCCTGGTCCTGATGAGTCGGGTCTAACAAAGTTCGAACAGGCTGGGCCGAGCGGTGTTTTTGGGTTTTGCAGCCGAAAACGTCATCTCAGGTTGCAACTTTGCTGGAGTGGAAACCATTTCCTAGCTGAATGGGTTTCCTTCCTTTTTTTTAACTGGAGGAAGATCACTACGACACGCCAAAGCTCGTCAGAGAGCCATCGCATTCCTTCTTCCTTCCAAACTCTACTCCGCCATTTTTGGAGCTCCGAGATTGTGCAAGGTTTGAACTTTTTGGGTGGGAGATTTCAAGAGCGGGAAAGAATTTAGATTTGGTTTGCTTTCCGCAACACCGATTGCGATTCAATTTTTTGGACCAACACCGGGGAACATCATGAACTGCGAAGTCTGCCAACTCAAAGAGCTGGTAACTTCTAGATTTCTTCGAACCTTAGATCACTATGGGTTTTCGTACTGAATTTCGGAGTTTTCTACAGTTTCCTGTTTGTTTCGCGCGGTTGATTTTGGATTTACTGAACTTGTGGTGTTCAACTTGCAGGAAGTGGAGCACTTCGAGATACGGGAAGTTCTCCGATGTAAGTTCTTCCCACTTGGTTCACTCGTGAGAGTAGAATTCTAGCAGCTGCGATGTGTAGTTTCACAATTTCCGCATTTTGATTGACATTGAGATCAAAGTTGGTCGCTTTGTGTGGGTTTTCTGTTGTGCTGATGTGATCTTGGGGGTTGCAGGCATATTGCATACAATTGTGTTCCATCGAGCTTTAGGACTCGTCCGTCCCAAAGTCATTGATTTAGAACTCTTTGACATTACATATGTAAGTAACGGGTGTCCTCCATAAAGCTGGCTGATAGGCTTTATGCCTAAAGCTCATCATGTCATTGATGACTTCTGGCATCTGCTATTCGTATGTTGGCAATGACGTTGCCCTTCTTGTTGCGCAGGTGCAATGTGGGGATGGTGAACTTGAAAAGAAAATCGATGAGAAGATTGAGCAGTTCATTAGTTGGGTAGAGAAACACCCAAATAAGAAGAGCCAGGTATATTATACTCAAATGTCTGATACAAATTATAGCTTCAGTAGTTGCCCTTTTGTTCCTTTAAAGCAAAGGTGGATTTATGGGGTTTGCATATATGTCCATGTCACCCGATGTTTACCCCGCCAAATCATAGGATGCGTCGATTGCCTTTGATTAAACAATAGTGTATATTAGACTTGTACATAGAGTTCTCTAGCTGACCATTTTATCTGTTTCTCTGTGTTGAGTAGCACTTCCTCGTCATGTTACTTCTACTGTTTAAATCAATTTTTTTTTTATCATAGTACTGATGAAGTCCCTTTCTTTTGGTTGTTGAACTCTGTATTGAATGATGCAGGTCTGTATATCCTTCTATGAGGTGAAAAACAAGCATCCTTCGTGGTTTACAAACAAAACCGAACGTCTTTATTGGGAACAATGGTATATCAATTTGAATGTGAGCCAGCAACAAAAAGTTCACTCTGGGAAGTCTCATCCTTCCAAGATTGTGGTCGACCCTGGAGGTAGTACTGTTGACTCTTATAACTGGTAATCCATTGCTTGTAAAGGTTCTTAACTCATAATCCTGTTTATGACCCAAAAAAATTTATTGTTCTGTTCAATGCAGATTCATTGGAGGAGAGGAGTGCTCGCAGGGCAGCACTTGAAACATCTCTTCGTGAGGTTTTATTCCAGATAATAAAATTTGTGAATGAGAAGAAGGATCATGTGCCTCCTATATCTGATGGTGTTGTCTATTTCCCTTATGAAGTTACTATTCCCAGGTGGATTCTCTCTCTAATTCATGAGATTTAGGTTAATGCTTCATGCACCTTGTGATGAAAATCTCAGCTGAGGCTGGTATCCATGGTTGAATGAACCCGGATTACTTTTCCAAGTTTCCTTCATGTCTTGTATATCTAAGAACAACATAGTGGAGAGATATATATTTTTTTTTTTTTATATTATTTTAGGCTCGTCTAGAACACTATTCTGCATTATTCGCATGATATCAAGTCTCTATTTTTTCTAGTATGAAGCTTTCCTTCCTGTGTTATTGTTTAACATTCTGAGTCAAATTTTATCCTTTGATTACACAGTTCATCAGATTCTGCTTTTGGGATGGACATGATCAAGAGGATGCTGCAGACTGGGGGGCATCCAACCATGCTCAGCTGATTCCAGATGTTCAAAGAGAATGCGGCTGCTGAAGAAAGAGAAGATCCTTACAACAGTTGAAGGTACAAGCTCATGCTTAGCGCCTGAACCAAATATGAACCAATGCAGCATCCATTGGAACATGTTTCTGTGAAAACAAATTGTAAATATCAACTTGGAGTTTCCCCTCCTAAAGGGGTTCTCTGCTCTTAGTTCTTTAGCCTTCGGCGGTGCATAGAGTACCATGTAACACTGTACATAACTTTCCCGATTCTGCTTAATCGTCCGAGAAGTATATCCTGATCTATGAATTCTATCTGAATATGAACCGGATTTGTCCAATACGTATTATTCAAAGCTGGCAGTTTAACTCGAACGAAAGAGTTGCTCCGGTCACCGGATTTTACAGCCAGGATGATGAACATGGCTGTGACTTGTTGTGACATTTTAAATGTTCAGAGTTGATTGAGTCATGATAATGAGAGTTTCTCATTCAGAATGCTTGGTAGTCTTAGCGTAGGAAGTGCATAGAGATGATGAACAAGGTTATTAATTTGCAGACATATAGTCAGGATTAGGGGTGGGCATCGGTACGGTTCGGACCGGACCGCACCGCATTTTTATAAACCGCACCGAACCGCATTTATGTAAACCGCACCGCATCTTTGACCGCGAAGTTATCGGTGCGGTCAAACCAAACCGTTGGAGCGATTTGGAGTGGTTTGGTCAAACCAATGCCCACCCCTAGTCAGGATTCACGTGTCTGACTAGGGGTGGGAAACGGTGCGGTTGCGGTTAACTGCACCGCAATTTGCGGTTAACTGCAACCGCAAAACACCCATATTGGCCAACCGCGACCGCGACCGCAACGGTTAGCGGTTAACCAAAAACCGCAGAAAGCGGTTAGCGGTGAACCGCGGTTTATGGTTGTGAAAACCGCAACAACCGAAACACCATATGAAACCGCAGTTAGCACTCTAACCGACAATTAACCGCGAACTAACCGCAAAAAAATCATTGAAAAAAAACACAGCAGCTACTGTTTTGTCTATTTTCACTTCCATCAAGCCTCTACATCTGTCTGCATATCCAAATAACACAATCCACAAGAACAAATGCACAATGCCACAATCCTGCTGGCTGGGCTGGGATCAATTATGGGCTGGGCTGGGGGTGAATTATGGGCTGGGTCTGGTTTCGCGGTTAGCTTTGCGGTTATATGGATTTGCGGTTTCGGTTGCGGTTAAACCGCAAACCGCAAAACAGGCCATATCTCCAACCGCGACCGCAAAATAGGCCAAATATGCGGTTTGCGGTTAACCAATAACCGCGCGGTTTCGGTGCGGTTGTCGGTTTAACCGCAAACCGCCAACCGTTTTCCCAGCCCTATGTCTGACATGTCAGCATCAGGTCGATTAATTAAAATCAAATTACAATATGATTTAAAAAAAAAAAAGCAAAAACACCACAAGCAGCCTAACAAATATAAAGAACTCAGATACATGCATTGATATACAAACATAATGCATTTCACATGAACATGACATATGCTGAAAATGAAATACATAAAACATAATATGAACCCATTGTAATGAGCTGTGTATGAAAACTGCAGAGTATGCGCCAACAGACGGTAAAACCAAAGCTCCCAAAATGGAGATTCACACTGTAACAATTGTTTGTCACTACTCACTGCTAAATGACACTTACAATGAAAATGGAGGAACTCCCTAGAAGGCCACAAGTGTTTTCCCCTCGTTCACTTCAACCTTCCATTAGCCGTCTCTCCAAGGCATATTCTGGGCGTCAATATAATCGAAATCACCATTGTTTCCCCCAATCAGAAAAGCTCAAGTATGGAAGAGGGAAAGAAGCACTTTGTGTTGGTTCATGGTGCAGCCCATGGAGCATGGTGCTGGTACAAGCTGATCCCGCTCCTGAAATCCAGTGGTCACAGAGTTACTGCTCTCGATCTCGGAGCTTCCGGGGTGGATCCTAATCGTCTGGACGAGATTGCCACGATTTCGGATTATGCTCGGCCGTTGATGGAGTTCATGGCCTCCCTGCCTGAAGATGATGGCAAGGTGATTCTGGTGGGTCACAGCTTTGGTGGCTACGTTATATCTCTGGTCATGGAAATGTTCCCTCAGAAAGTGTTGGTGGCTGTTTTTGTCACTGCCGAAATGCCTAATCTCGTCGAGCCTCCTGCCACTCTCATGATAGAGGTAAACAAAAAGAAGAACAAATCCTTACAATGAACAATCAAAGCACCTTTCCTTTTCCCTCTTAGTTACTCTTCTGCTTTAATAGAGTCTTGAGTTCGATACTCGATTAAGTTATGCTTATTACGAAACATTTTTCTACGCGATCGATAAAAGTGAACGACCATACAAAGTTATGGAACACGTAGTTCGACAAATATGCCTATGTTTGCTGATAAGTGTGGTACAAACTCCGTTGTGCGAACGTTGTAGGTGTCGAGTCTCGATGTATGTTTGTAATCTAACATTGTAAATGATGGTTATTTCATTGGTTCTGCTGCTGCTGCTGCTGTTCTACAACAACAACAGATCCTGGAGAGGACACCAGAGGAGGTCTTTGCACTATGCGAAGTAGAATTCGACAAAGAACAAGAAAGGCTTCCAATATCAGCACTTTTTGGGCCGGTTTACCTGGAAACCATAATGTACACAAACTGCCAGCCAGAGGCAAGTTCTTCTACCTTCTGCACAAACATTCATCAGGTCTCTCTTTCAAATCACAGCCAATTTGAAGAATGTAAACTAATTGCTTGTGCTTTTCAGGATCTGGAACTGGCCAAGCTAATGATGAGGCCATTCAAGTTCTTCCTGGGGGACATGTCCAAGGAATCCCTGCTGAGCGAGGCCAAATATGGCTCTGTGAAGAGGGTGTACATTGTGTGCAAAGATGACATCGTGACGATGCAGGAATTCCAGGAAAGGATCATCGAGAGCTACCCGCCGGACGAGGTGAAGTACATCGAAGGAGCTGATCATATGGTCATGCTGTCGAAGCCGAACGAGCTCTGTCAGTGCCTGCTGGAAGTTGCTGATGAGGATTGGTTGAGTTGTGATGGTGACCAGCTTCAGGAAGAAGTAGTTCAGCCTAGCGATCACCAGAATGTGAGTCAGGTTAACTGCTCGTCGGACTGAGCAATATCGTATTGTGTAATGTGGGGAAAAGAACATTCGTAAATTTTCAAACACGGATTAGCGTTGTAACCTCTGGGACGGGTATCGGTTTGTTTAATGTTATCAATTAATTTTGAGATTTGACTCTTCTAACCACTATTTTCAAAAGTTGACCGTAACTATATTATTTAAAAGTTGCGGCCAAATTTTGGACCAAACTATTAACCCACAAACCAAACATCACATTTCAAGATCTAAAGAACGGTCCAAATCGACAAGGTAAGCCATAAAACCATGGTCCATGAAACAGTACCATACAGGCGGTTCAACTACGAAATAGCAGTATAGGACGATAAATCGATACGCGGTATTTAACGGTACTAACGGTTGTGTTAGTGTTGTGGTATATGATCCACGATTGAACCTCTCCCAACAACTCGAGTTATTGTGATCAACTGATTCTTGACATGGTATCAGAACCTTCTGTGACCGAGAGGTCTTGTGTTCGATTCTCGGTGATCCCCATTTGTTAAACACATGGTATTCTTGTCTTCAGACCTGTGCAAACTTCAAGCCCTTGTGAGTGGCTTTCGTTTGAGGGGGCTTGTTAGTGTTGTAGTATATGATCCACGATTGAACCTCTCTCAACAACTCGAGTTATTGGGATCAACTGGTTCTTGACAAGTTGAACTACGATTAAACCACGATTTTGTCACAAAATATCATACTGCCGGTTACGATTTCATGGACCACGCATAAAACTGAATTTTTTGGCAAATGTGTAGAGGTCAGAATCCATAAAAAGCCAAAGTAAACGTCAGGCAAATAGCTCCGGGCACATATAGCGACAATACCTGTTGTAACGGCCTGGTAAATGTAGGATTAGGATATGGAAAGATATTACAGAAATCATCCAAAAACAAATGAAATTTTGGCTTTCAGTCGCAGAAGGAAAGATCTGGTTAGGTGGATTCTACGGTCGGTCGATCGATCTTTTCACGCCACTGTATCAAGAACTTGGCCGGAGAAACACATCCACACAGATTTCCCTTTTTTCTCTTGATTCATTTCACCGTGTGTCAGCCTCAGCCCAGCCTCCGTCCCCATCCCAGCTGTACGCTTTTTTTGGCACCATAAAAAAGCCCCATTTCCCCGTCTCTGTTTCTCATACTCTGTTTCGTATGCTCCCGTCTCTGTTTCTCTTACTCTGTTTTTTTGGCTCCACGCTTGTCGTTTCAAACCACACCCACCGACCGCCATCGCAGGAAGAAATGAAGAGCCACTTCGTTCTGGTTCACGGAACCGGCCACGGCGCCTGGTGCTGGTACAAGCTCGTCACTCTGCTCGAATCGGCAGGCCGCCGAGCCACGGCCCTGGACCTCGGCGGCAGCGGCATCGATCCCCGGCGGCTTGACGAGGTCTCCTCCATCTCCGATTACGTCAGCCCGCTGGTGGGTTTCCTCGCCGGTCTCCCCGAGGAAGAGAAAGTGATCCTTGTGGGTCATAGCTACGGCGGGATCGCCATCTCTCTGGCCATGGAGAAGTTTCCCGGTAAAGTCTTGGTGGGTGTTTTCGTCACAGCGTTGATGCCCAACTCCACTTCCCCACCGGCGAATGTAGTCCTTGAGGTACTTCTCTTTAATTTTGGTTTTTCCTCCTCTGGATTGGGTTTCCCGCCGGTTGATTTGTAAAGCTCTCTGTTTAATTTGCTTTCCCCTGTTTTTTGCCGTGGACGGAAGTTCTTCAACCGGACGCCGGCGGAGGCATTGATGGATTCGCAGGTCCGTTTCGCGGATGGGCCTGACAGCCCACCAACTTCGGCCATATTTGGCCCACGTCACATGGCGACGAGTCTCTATCAGGAGAGCCCACCCCAGGTTCCCCTGTTTTTGGAAACTTTTTTTTGCTTTCAGGGGTTATCACTTATCCCCACGTTTCTAATTTCTAAACAAAAGTAGGTCCAGTATCTTTGCGATATCGTAGTGATAGAATGGTTTTCTAATCGGTTTATACCGTTACATCGATTTCATAAGTGATATAGTTCAATCGGTATATAACTGGTTTACATGTTTGTTTTTGTCGATTTTAACAAAAACATGTGAAGAAAGTGGAAAACAATTAATTAATAATAAATTAATTGTTTATATACATACGTTATCTTAAGACAATCTCTCTGTAATCTAAATTTATAATTAAGTAAACAAACAAAATGACAAATTATTATATTTAAATTCAACATTTAACGTCAAGATCTAAACGTTTATATTTGAATCCAACTACCAACATCAACATCCAAATGTTGGTGCTCGAATACAACAAATTCCTCTCTTTAGTTCATTAATTCCACAAAATAAGACATCATTTTGTTTTAAGAACTGAAATTGATCATTCCAGTAGGACCCCTGATCTCCCCAGTTTTTTAAAACAGTTTGACCATTTTTTACTGGTTTTGACTACCTCTTCGTACCGGTGGTTTTCCATTCAGTTTGTGTCCAATACCGGTTGAATCCGGTTGGCATACCACCAGTGGTTACCATGATTTGAAGCATCTTTGGTGGTTTTATTTCTGTTTTACCTTTATAATGACAATTGATATTGTTATATGATCATCTTAATTATTGGTATAAATTTGTGTGATATTTACGAGTATCGGATATTAAGATATTCACAAATAACAAAGTACTCATATAACCAAAAAAAAAATCTGGTTTTTGCCATAGTCAAACCTCCTAAGACCTAAGCTATATTACTTTCCTTGCATTTTGATTCTGGGTTTGTGTTTGTCTCATCACATTGCAATCAGGATCTGGAACTGGCGAAGTTGCTGGCGAGGGAGAACGGATTGTTTTTGAAGGACCTGAGTCAGGAATCTCTGCTAACAGAGAATAGATTCGGATCTGTGAAGAGGGTTTTCATTGTAGCTGAAGAGGATCAACTTATGAAGAAAGATTTACAGGAATGGTTCATTCAAAAAAGCCCACCCAAAGACGTGAAGTTCATCGCAGGAGCTGACCACATGGTTATGCTCTCCAAGCCTCATGAGCTTTACTCCTCCCTCCTGGAGATTTCCACCTGATTTCATAGTAAGATGGTTGCTCCGAATAATTTGAGTAGTTGCGATATGGGTGAGAACTAAGAATGTATCGGTTTCTTACAAAATCGGGACATGTTTAGTCACTATAAAAAATTAATATCAAATTTGGTCACTACAATTACTAAAACTGGACACATTTAGTCACTCGCCGTTAGTCTCCGTCCAACTCCGTTAATGAAGTCCGTTAAGTGATGATGTGGCAAACAGAAATGCCTAATCAGCCGGATATAACCCAACAAAAATAAAACCCAACCCGCCACGTCATTAAAACCAACCCAACCCATGACCCAACCCCACCCAACCCTTCTTCCTCCTTCCTCTCACCTCCTTCTTTCCCCAAAACCCTTCTTCCTCCTTCCTCTGCACACATCTGGATGATACTGTTGTAGACAAAACCCTTCTTCCTCCTTCCTCTACCAGAGTTGAATCTCAAGCTCAAGATGCCATTGACGGAAATCCTCGCCGTGACTGACAATTTCAACCCAAAGCTTCTAATCGGATCCGGCGGATTCGGGAAAGTATACGAAGGCAAGCTCGCAAACGGAGTGACAGTCGCGGTGAAGAGAAGCGAATCGGGTCACGGACAAGGCCGACCCGAATTTCAAACAGAGGTTTTAGTCCTCTCCAAGATCCGCCACCGCCACCTCGTCTCCTTAATCGGGTACTGCGACGACGGCGCCGAGATGATCCTCGTCTACGAGTTCATGAAAAACGGAACCCTCAGAGACCATCTCTACAGATCCGACGATGATGATTCCAGTTCTTCTCCTCCCTCCTCCGTGGCTTCCACCACCACGATGCTGAATTGGAAGCAGAGGCTCGACATCTGCATCGGGTCGGCCAAAGGCCTGCACTATCTTCACACCGGATCCGACGGGGGGATTATTCACAGGGACGTCAAGTCGACGAACATCCTGCTGGACGAGAATTTCGTCGCGAAAGTGGCCAATTTCGGACTCTCTCAGGCGGGTCTACAACAGTATCATCCAGATGTGTGCAGAGGAAGGAGGAAGAAGGGTTTTGGGGAAAGAAGGAGGTGAGAGGAAGGAGGAAGAAGGGTTGGGTCATGGGTTGGGTTGGTTTTAATGACGTGGCGGGTCGGGTTTTATTTTTGTTGGGTTATATCCGGCTGATTATGCATTTCTGTTTGCCACATCATCACTTAACGGACTTCATTAACGGAGTTGGACGGAGACTAACGGCGAGTGACTAAATGTGTCCAGTTTTAGTAATTGTAGTGACCAAATTTGATATTAATTTTTTTTAGTGACTAAACATGTCCCGATTTTGTAATCTCAGTGACCAAATGTGTCTTTAACCCTAAGATGGTTGCTCCGAATAATTTGAGTAGTTGCGATATGGGTGAGAACTAAGAATGTATCGGTTTCTTACAATGTGTTTTTAAATAAAGTCGACAGTTAATAAATACATAATGGTCGTCTGAATCCAAAGACGGAAAAAATTATGATACTATGTAAAAAATCAGATGCTTCGACTAACTCGAGTCACGTTGTTGGAGCGCATCCAAACACGAATCGTTTGATATACATCCGCATTAAGCTTCTGCACCAAAGTTACTGTGTTTTTAAGTTGAGTTTTCGAAGTTTAATGCGAATTAGTCCCCTTTGCAACCCATTCACATCAATACAAGTAGGAAATTCATTGAACTTACACAAATAACCGTAAAAATTCGTAGTTCCAGCGGATGTGGCCAGCATACACGATACAAGCTAGTTGATCACCTCTAACATTGTATACAATTAGTTGTACCATTTCAATGTTTTCTCTAGATTGACTTGCTCCCCACGTCGTGATTGAATGAGAATGAAAGAGAGAGGCTCGCTGGATTGACGTGAGGGGTAGAGACGATTATATGTTTCGGAGCGAACTCTGAGCGAATGCAAAGCACATAGATACAAGTTAATCCCTGAACGAATAAGCATTAAGCAATGCATAAAAACCCACCCTTGAGAGGACAACATTCGCTAAAAAACGGTTGTTAATGCCCCGTAAACGGAGGAGGAAAAAAGGAATCCGCCCAGGCAATGGCGGAAGGAGGTGGAGAGGAGTGGGGTCCTAGGACCTTACTTGGCAAAAAATGAGACAACCAAATTTCTTTAAATACATAAAGTTTAGTATGATATGTCAAGTTTAGGACCTCATATTTTATCGATGTTAGCTCATCCAATAACCCCCAATCAATTCATATTTCGTTAAATACACAGATTTTAGGATTATTCAATTTTGTGAGGATCCCAGTGTACTTAAAGTCGTCCTACACACCACTGTGCCTAGGGCTATTAATAATCAGGCCCGAGCCGAACTCTGCCATAGTTCGGGCTCAGCTCGAGTTCGTCACAAACTTTAATATGCAAGTTCGAGCTCGACTCGTTTATGAAAATGAAAGCTCGATCTCGACTCAAGCTCGCTTCATCAAATAAGGTTAACGAGCACAAAATCGAGTTCAGCTCATAAAATGTTCATGATAGTTCAAGATTGAGTCAGAAGTAGAACTGAGCACAAAATCACATTTAACCCCGGTAAAAAGTCTAGCAAAATTAAAATAAAAAAATATTTATTCCAATACGTAAAAACCATGAATTCCAATCCTTCCTGATGCCAAACCGTTAAATGATCTTGCTCACCACGAGCTTTCAAGCTGAACACGGCATGGCTCGAATTCGATTCGTTTAGTTAACGAGCTTATTCGGAGCCGACTCGATTAAAACGAATCGAGTATTGAACGAATTTTTCTCAAACCGAACGCCGAGCCGTTCATGAGCGCCTTTTACTCCCCAACGAAACAAGTCCACTTGCACCACTCGTCAGTCGTCATCGCCGTACGAGACCCCTTTGTCGTTTCTTATCTCCACCGCAGATTTCATGAGCCAAAGAAAGACGATGAAGGATCGCCTAACCCACAACTCTCTATTATGGCAAAAACAACATCGATTGAATCCGATTGTCCTACCGACATCTCAAATCAACGAGACCCACAATTCCCCCATCCACACCTTCCGTCATATCTCATCTCCACCACGAGATCAAGATTTCAGAGAATCAAAAACCCAAAACGAAATCACAAAACGCCTCCCCAAAAAAAAAAAAAAAGACCGTATCTCTGTTTTTTTGTTACCGCGGATATGGCAGGGGAGGGAAAGAAGAAAAAGGCGGCCCATTTCGTGCTGGTCCACGGCGCCTGCCACGGAGCTTGGTGCTGGTTCAAGCTCAAGCGCCTCCTCGAATCGTCCGGCCACCGCGTCACCGCCGTGGATCTGGCGGCTTCGGGGATCGACGGCGAGGCGATTCACCGGGTCCCCACTTTCCGTCACTACACGCAGCCGTTGCTCGACGCTCTGCAACCGGCGGCCGGCGGCGACGACGATGAAAGGGTTGTTCTTGTTGGGCATAGTTCTGGCGGCCTGAGTTGCGCCCTGGCTATGGAGACATTCCCGGGGAAGATTGCGGTGGCGGTTTTCTTGTCGGCTTTCATGCCTGACACGCTCCATTCCCCGTCGTTCGTACTGGATCAGGTAACATAGTATTTTTCTTCTCGGATTTTCTAAGTTGTAAAGTTGTACCATAATATAAATGTCAAATTCTCTTATGATACAACTTTAATCTGTACGTTTAATGTTGTGGTACAACTTCAATTAGTTGTACCTTAAAAGTACCAGTACTTTAAAGCATAGTAGAAGTGCTCGTCGTTGCTAACTTTGTTTGACGATAAATGGAGATTTGGGTCATTTCTCAGTACTGTGCAAGAGCAACACCAAGGACGTGGCTGGACACCGAGTTCGCACCAGCCAGCAGCTCACAACCCGATTTCCTGACCATGCTGTTTGGCCCTGAATTCCTCTGTTCCAGGCTCTACCAACTCTGTTCCAAAGAGGTATGTTGTAAAATCGTATTAAAGGTTGTACGAGAAAAATTAGCGGATAAAGTATTTTGTACTAAAATTATGATTTAACTGGCGTTTCATACCACTAAAAAAATCGCCTACCGTCTTAATCGTAAAGAACATTTTTCCGGACGAATAGCCGGTCCGATACGCGCAGCCTAAACAGTCCTCTAGTTGCATATTGTTTCAACTACATTAACTAACTTGTTCATGTTGCCATAAAAAGGATTTGGAGCTGGCGAAGGCGGTGGTGAGACCGAGCTCTCTGTACTTGCACGATCTGAGCAAGGCAGAGAAGTTTACAGAGGAAGGATACGGTTCGGTACGCAGAGTCTTTGTGATTTGCAATGAGGATCGAGCGATAAAAGAAGAGTACCAGAGATGGATGATTGAGAATTTCGTCGTCGAAAGAGTGATGGAGATCAAGGAATCGGATCACATGGCTATGCTTTGTGAACCCAGGAAGCTCTTCGATTGTCTTTCTGAGATAGCAGATAATTACTCTTGATCGGTGGTAGTATGACAATTTTCGCAAAGGATTACGCGAAGAGGAAGGGCCAAAAAAAACTTGCAGTTTTTATAGCGGCTCAAACTGATTTAACAATACCAGGTTACACATCGCTCAACTTTAAATAAACAGAGCTTATAAAACGAAACTTGAAACGTCTTTTTCTTGTTATGTTTCTCTTCGAGCAATCCCGATCAACCGAGAATTTCTTCAGCTGCTTCATCCTTTCAGTTTGATACGGTATGAGTATAAAAACACAAAGAAAAGATTATGCACCATTAATTTTTAATTATAATAACACACTGACAGCCTTGTGTGAGTGTGAGTGGCCGATGAAATTGATGAGATTGTCCGAACAAATTAGCTTATCAGTGTCAAAGATTGCATAGGTAAATAGCATCAAATTTCTTTAGTGTAATATGTCAATGTAACACTAGTCTACGGTGAGTATCTCACTCACAGTTTATATGATTTTCTTATTACTTACGCTTTGTTTGGGAAGGAGGGGTAAGGGCTGGGGGGACGTAAATGACAGGGGGGAAATGGGGAATCCGAGGAAGAAGCCCTCGTTTGGATAGTTTGGAACAATTCTGGGGGTGGGCAAACTAGGGGTTTTTTCACTGTTTTAACTCGCCCCCCAAATTGGGGCGGAAGAGGAGAGAGAAAAGGAAAAGCTGAAAGTGGTGAGAGAGAAACACAATTATTTCCGTCGGCTCTCTTCCTTCTCCCACTGCAATCTTTCTCCGGCCAGCTCTGCATCCTTCTTCCAAAATAATAAATCAGAAGAAGTGTGTAAATTAGGTTAGAATTAATCCAAACCCAGAAATTACCTCGATCTAACCCTCGTAAGCGCCCTATTGCCAACTCCGATTTGAAAGAGGTTTTTTCTTCGCAAAGCATATCTAGATAAATCCCCCACATGCAGATCTGTTCCACTAGCTACATACCGGCGTAAAAAGCAGCAACTGCTTCTTGTCCTATATCTATGGAGATCGAGGAGAGTGAGGGAGGGAGAGAGAGAGAGCAGGCGGAGTTGAGTGTGAGAGAGATGGAAAAGAGTTGGAATCTAGAACCAGATGGGAAAGAGAGGATTTGCCGTGAAATGGAATTTGGGTGTGGTGGAGGTTGGTTTTAATTTTTAATTAATATATATGAATAACTGTATATAATAATTTATTTAATAATTTTCTATTAATTTATTCATATATAATAGTATAATTAATATATCACACCCCCAATTTGCACCCTCCTACTTTTTCTCCCAAACAACAATATACGCCTCAATTTGCACCCTCCTTCAATTTGTACACCTTGATTTGCACCTTAATTTGCACCCCCTTTCAATTTGCACCCTCCTAATTGCCAAACAGAGCGTTAGTACTTTTTCACAGGTTACATGAGTATATATAGGTCTAGAGACCTAAACCCTAACCGAAGTCTATATGGCATATTTACATATTGGTACTTTAACAATATAATAATTGACAATCATTTGATAAGACTAATAATATAAACCTCAAGTATAATTTATGAGAATTTGCGTCAATTTTTTGATGAAATTGCTTGAAATAATTTATTATAGTTGTTAATGGTTTGACAATAATATTCTTCAAATGATATTGACAACTACCTTTAATTATTATTGATTATCACTTTTTCAATAATGGTGACATTCATTCAACTCTTTTATATTTTTCAATAAGGTGTGATGTAATGCAAGGATTCTGTTTTCGATTTGATTGAATATAAATTCTTATAAGATAATGTTTTCTGTATGAATAATTAGGTAACTTGATGTTAGATGTTGTTAAAATAAAATATCTCAATCATGGTACCGGTTTTAATTTTGATTTAAAAAGTCTTAACAGTTATGTGGTAAAAAGTCTTAATTTCGGGCGGATGACACACTTACAGCGAAATTAATCATTATAAAGAATTTGTTTGCACGATTTTTAGAGTGATAAACTAATACCGTAGATGGTTATTTGCAGTAGTTTATGTTGATATCAACTTGGGTTAAATGGTAGCAATGTCCTTGTGCATATATTGACATTTCTAGTGTTGGAATCTTATTCTAAACATGATAATGTAATGGTCAACCGACCGACCGTTCTGTTGCTCGGATCAACCATTACTTTCCTTTTTGTAATGGTGGAGTAACGTTGCAAATATTAAAACATTTCTAGTGACGGACCCATCTTATTCTGACACCTTATAAGGTAATTACTAACTGGTCAACCATTCTATCTTGTTAGAGAGTGATATAAGATCCAGCAGAACCTTCTCCCAACAACTCGAGTTATTGGGAGCAACTGGTTCTTGACATGGTATCAGAGCCTCGAACCAAAAGGTCATGTGTTCGAATCTCCACGACCCCCAATATTAACCGTTGTCTTTCAAGCACATGGTATGGTGGGCCTGTGCAAACTTCAAGCCCATGGGTTGGCTTTCGTTTGAGGGGGCGTGTTAGAGTGTGGTATAAGATCCAGCAGAACCCTCTCCCAACAACTCGAGTTATTGGGAGCAACTGGTTCTTGACATGGTTGTTAGAGAGTGGTATAAGATCCAGCATAACCTTCTCCCAACAACTCGAGTTATTGGGACCAACTGGTTCATGACATGGTATCAGAGCCTAGAACCGAAAGGTCATGTGTTCGAATCTCCACGACCCCCAATATTAACCGTTGTCTTTCAAGCACATGGTATGGTGGGCCTGTGCAAACTTCAAGCCCGTGGGTTGGCTTTCATTTGAGGGGGCGTGTTAGAGAGTGGTATAAGATCCAGCATAACCTTCTCTAACCTGTCGATTGTTTTCCTTTACATGATGGTGCAATTTCATTGCAAACAGATAAGTGCGCCATCCATTCTACCGTTTGACAAAATCACTTGATCGCGTTTTCTTCAATTGTGGGAGGACTGGGAATGTTCAGCACCTCCTTTTTCCATAGTTCAACGGCTAACTTGGCTGAGTCGCCATACAGTCTTCGACACGTGAAAGCAATAGAGTTTCTGTTTTCTGACAAGTTCGGCCATGGCAGCTGGAGTCGCAGCGGTCGGCCATGGCTCTCTTTGCAGTCCTCAAGAAGAGTCTCTCGCCTCTCTCTACCTCGCAATTCCATGAATAAACAAAGACACGCCAACTCCACTACCTAACCCTTTCTCCACCAGAGGAACGAAATCACCATGGAAACAGTAAAAAATGCAGCCTTTAAAAACGCCCCCCTCAAATCCCCTGCATTACACAACCAACAAATTAAGAAACGACAATGGCAGGGGAGGCAAAGAAGAAGACGGCACACTTCGTGCTGGTCCACGGAGCCTGCCATGGAGCTTGGACCTGGTTGACAAAATCACTTGATCGCGTTTTCTTCAATTGTGGGAGGACTGGGAATGTTCAGCACCTCCTTTTTCCATAGTTCAACGGCTAACTTGGCTGAGTCGCCATACAGTCTTCGACACGTGAAAGCAATAGAGTTTCTGTTTTCTGACAAGTTCGGCCATGGCAGCTGGAGTCGCAGCGGTCGGCCATGGCTCTCTTTGCAGTCCTCAAGAAGAGTCTCTCGCCTCTCTCTACCTCGCAATTCCATGAATAAACAAAGACACGCCAACTCCACTACCTAACCCTTTCTCCACCAGAGGAACGAAATCACCATGGAAACAGTAAAAAATGCAGCCTTTAAAAACGCCCCCCTCAAATCCCCTGCATTACACAACCAACAAATTAAGAAACGACAATGGCAGGGGAGGCAAAGAAGAAGACGGCACACTTCGTGCTGGTCCACGGAGCCTGCCATGGAGCTTGGACCTGGTTCAAGCTCAAGCCTCTGCTGGAATCCGCCGGCCACCGCGTCACCGCCGTGGACCTGGCGGCTTCAGGAATCAACTGCAAGGCAATCCAACAAGTCCCCACTTTCCGCGACTACACGGATCCCCTGCTCCACGCTCTGTCCCTCGTCGACGAGAAGGTCATTGTCGTTGGGCACAGCTTGGGCGGCATGAATTGCGCCCTGGCGATGGAGATTTTCCCTGAAAAGATTGCTGCCGCAGTTTTCTTGTCGGCTTTCATGCCTGACACGCTCCATTCCCCGTCTTTCGTCCTCGATCAGGTAACAGGGTTGGATATACAGAGGGTGGTAAATTGGTAATGGAGAAAGGTTGAAGCTTTTTATTTCTCTCTGGAATCTAATTGGGGGTGATCTCGATGGGGTTTTTTTGCAGTATTGTGCAAGAGCTCCAGCAGGGGCGTGGCTGGACACTGAATTCGCACCAGCCAGCAGCTCGCAGCCTGATTTCATGACCATGTATTTTGGGCCTGAGTTCCTCTGTTCTAAGCTCTACCAACTCTGTTCCAAAGAGGTATGAAAAATACTAAATTCAACTTGTTTCTCGATCCTCTTAATGGGTATTTAGTGAATATGATATTTATGTTCTGAGAAAAAGGATTTGGAGCTGGGGAAGGCGCTGGTGAGGCCGAGCTCTCTGTTTTTGCACGATCTGAGCAAGGCGGCGAAGTTTACAGAGGAAGGGTACGGTTCTGTGCGCAGAGTGTTTGTGATTTGCAATGAGGATCAAGGGATAAACGAGGAGTTCCAGAGGTGGATGATTCAGAATTACGTTGTTGAAGAAGTGATGGAGATCAAGGAATCGGATCACATGGCGATGCTCTGCGAACCCAGGAAGCTCTTCGATTGTCTTTCTCAGATAGCAAATAATTACACTCTTGATCGGTAGTAGTAGGGGTCAAAATGCACACAAAAATGAAGCACCCTTATTTTTTCGACATGACACCATGATTGTATTGATGAGACTGTATTAAAAACCAAATGACGCAGCATTTGTTTGCATCCTCAATCTCGTGTGTCTATCATTTCTACAATCATCATCTTCAAGGAACTCAAAGAAATTGGAAATCCAAATTAATAACAGAAAGAGTTATGAATTGGTGTATGGCTTTGGATAATGCACCGCATTATCTCCCCCAAGACGAGCATTTAAAAGACCAACATGTTCTCTTGCTGATAGAGATTGGCCAGTCTCTTCCCCCAGTAACTTCTCGTCTTGTTTTGGAAGGAGGAAAAGGAGCTCGATCTGCTCTCCTCTGCCGCTTCACCAGACACAGAGCAACGGATTAATTAACTGATATTTGATTGATTCCCTGCTTTGCCAAACCCTGGGAACCGTAAACATCAACTACTCTCCTGTATATAAGCTCTCATTTCTCGAGACAGCTTGGTCACAGGACAAAATAAACAGAGCAGGAAATGGCAGAAACAGGGGACGAGCAGAGGCAGAGAGCAGCCCTGGTGGCTGTATTTAACCGCCAGCTTCAGGAGTATGCTGCTGCGGAGAGGAAGGTAATAGCTGCCCACAAGTTAAAGGTAGCCGCGCTCCGCAGAAAGATAAGGGAAGCTGAGGAGCAGCTTGAGAGGAATCTAGAGAAGGCTCGCAGGGATCATCACTCTGCCTGTGCGTGAATAAACAACATTACGGTGTAAATAAGCATACATTTACTTGAACAAAAGTAAAAATGAGTGAATTAGGTGGTTGGACTCTTTAGATGCCACCAAACGAGTGGTCTTAAATCTTAATGGCCCTTTTAAGGTCCTCAAAAGTTGCCTCTGCCTCAAGGGTCTAGGTGAATCTAGCTCAGTCAATGGCTGGCTATTCCCTATTCAAATTTCAAAGGTTCTTCTGACAGATGACAATGGCGTCCCAAGACCATGAACGAGACTCGCAACTCCCAATACCACCGGAATCCGGATAAATGATGTCACCATAGACACAGTAAAATCAGCCTTTATTAAATGAACGCCCCAAATCCCCTGCATTACAACCCACCAAATTAAGAAACGACAATGGCAGGGGAGGCAAAGAAAAGGGCACATTTCGTGCTTGTCCACGGAGCCTGCCACGGAGCTTGGTCCTGGTTCAAGCTCAAGCCTCTGCTGGAATCCGCAGGCCACCGCGTCACCGCCCTCGACATGGCGGCTTCAGGGATCAACGGCAAGGCGATCGGACAAGTCCCCACTTTCCGTGACTACACGCAGCCCCTGCTCGACGCTCTGGCCCGTGTCGACGAGAAGGTAATTGTCGTTGGGCACAGCTTCGGCGGCATGAATTGCGCCCTGGCGATGGAGATTTTCCCTCAAAAGATTGCTGCCGCAGTTTTCTTGTCGGCTTTCATGCCCGACACGCTCCATCCCCCGTCGTTCGTCATCGATCAGGTATAACGGTCGAATTTACAGAGCACCGTAATTGAGAAAAAGGTTGAAGCGTTTTTTCTCTGGATTTTGATGGGTGATCTGATTTTTCAGTGTTTTGCAAGAGCTCCACCAGGGGCGTGGCTGGACACTGAATTCGCACCAACAAACAGCAGCTCGCAATCCGATTTCCTGACCATTCTGTTTGGGCCTGAATTCCTCTGTTCCAGGCTCTACCAACTCTGTTCCAAAGAGGTATTTTCCATTTTCACTGCCAAGCTACGTGCTTTTTTAATTTTCTTTTCTTTTCTCTCCACTCTGATTCTGGGTTTCTTCGTGTTTCCCATAAAAAGGATATGGAGCTGGCGAAGGCACTGGCGAGGCCGAGCTCCCTCTTCCTGCACGATCTCGGAAAAGCAGAGAAGTTTACAGAGGAAGGGTATGGTTCAGTGAGCAGAGTCTATGTGATTTGCAACGAGGATCGAGGGATGGAAGAGGAGTTCCAGCGATGGATGATTCAGAATTACGTTGTGGAAGAAGTGGTGGAGATTAAGGAATCGGATCATATGGCGATGCTCTGTGAACCCATAAAGCTCTTCGATTGCCTTTCTAAGGTAGCAGATAATTACTCTTTAGATTGGTAGTATGAGTGAAAGTGCACAAAGAAAAAATAAGACACCTCTATTATTATTTTAGTTATAACAATAGAAAGTGTCATTTGGTTTTAGCAAATTATCGAATAAGAAATATGATTAAATGATATTGTGGGAGTGATTTGATGATATTAATCAAATTGTGCATTGGAATTTCACTCACAACATTATCCTTTAATCATTCTCCCTGGCTTAGAATCTGTAACTGCATTTCGCCCACCGTGAAGACCCACTTCTTCATTTTGAAACTGTACCGACATGATTAGTTTTCTTTCAAGTGTATTCACCTCCATTGTCTTTCTACACTGTGTGTACTATCTACTTGTGCTCTCTTCTTTGTACTCCTAATTCATCTTTGCATTTGTTGACACCCATTTAGTGTCACATTAACAAAATCCCATATCATTCATAAATAAAAATTGTGCAAATCGATTAAAATGTCAATTGGTTATGTTGATGATATTGGGTAAACTACGATATAGCACGTTTAGCATATACATTTTTAATACTTTATAAGTGATTTGAATCGTTTAAATCTATAAAATTTTGTATATATTAATATCACAACATATGTATGTTGATCAAATATGTACACAAGCTGACCAAGTCAGAAAGATATGGGGTTAAAACGAACAAATTGGTAAAGTAATAAATTTGAGTGTAAATATCGTATCAACAATATCACTACCTATAATTAATTTAAACGTGATACTTTGTGACATGTGGTATGTATGTGGTAATTGATCGCAAATAATATGTTTGACAATGCTGAATCATAAACATACTATATAAATATAGGTGATTTCGTAAAACCGGTATAACGGTATAAACCGGTTTGACAACCTTACCCTAATGTAGGCATAGATATATACTATCCCAGGGGAACCATTGCAAAGAGTTTTTTATCTTCTTTTTTTACAATTACAATTTACAAACCGATCGCAAGAAGGCGAAACTTAGATATAGATTTGTTAATCCATCGCTTGCACTTTACGTAATGAACATGGTTGTCAACCATTCAATTAGGAGCCCAACAACTTATGTACATAATAATTCTCAGCGACTCTTCCACCTGCTTAACCTTATTACATTCTTTCATCATGCTGCCATTAAAATTAGTCGTGACGCGGGAGAGATTTCTCGTACTATTTGAAAAATTAGATGATGAAGAAGAGGAATCTTTCAAAGCCTTACTGGTCTCGGAATCCTTTGAAATTCCTTGCATTGCTCCTCGACTGACGAACTTCGAACTCATACCTATGCAATAGAACAACCGAAGAACCGAATGATGCTTTACATATAAGATGATAATTGGCCGGTTTCTTACGAATGAGAGGAAAATATGCAGAGAAAACATTATATTTAGGCCTATCAAAAAGCTTAATTTAGTGTGCAAGAGCCTCTTGTTTGTTTGGGAAACAACTAGACAGATTTGGAAAGAGCGCTTTTGAATAAGCATATATAGGTATTGTAACGACGAAATTCGACATGTCAATGTGTGATTCGTTTGGAAATGGCACAACCTTGCCTAGTTTGTTGTTAGTTTGTGGGTTTGGGTAGATTTAGTGTTGTACTACTTCATGCTAAGATTGGAAAATAGTTGTTAGTTGATAGATGGTTAAAAACCTAAAATGGGTATAGGATTGTTGTTTGTTTTGGATAACATATGAAGTTTGATTAATTAAAAAAAAGATATGTTTTATTAAGAATGTGTAAGTCACCCAAGAAATAAGCACAAAACTAGAATGGTTGTGTAATATGAAGTCTAAAAAGCAGACCCAAGATCTTTGAATGTATAACAAGGTTATGGATAACTATGCATAATCCTATATTTATGGATGTTAACTTACTTTTTCGCATGAGTTATTACAAAATAAGTCATTTGGTCAAATGTAGACATTTGAGAAATGTAAAATTTGTGAATATATACATTTACAAATGTGTTGTTTGTTTAATAGTTTTTAGATGAGTTATTCTTAAATGGGTCATTTGTATAATGTTGTCATTTGTTCTTACATTTAATATTTCATTATCTTGTTTCCTATCCTAATAAAACAATTGCAACTACTATGAGTCATGTATAATACTTATAATTTTAAAGAACACTTTCATGTTAAATTTCTTTGTAAAAAGTAACGACTCCAGGAGTCTCACATTCTCGCTAATTAAGGCTCTCCATACGATTTGTTTGGATGGTAAATTTCCGAAACGAGGTAATTTTATCCAAATGTCTCATCTCATAGTTGTCTTATAAAATGCATCATTTTTACACTACTTATCTTTTCTTTGTCAATTTAAAATGATGCAAATACAAAACAACTTAAATTGACTTATCCCAATTGTTGCATCCACATCTAGTGTTGCCAAACGTGGCTATTTGACCTAATCGCTTCATTTTGAGGCAATTGAACCAAATTGTCTCATCAAATTTCATCATTCAAACGACCTCAAACTTATGCAAAACAAGACAATTTAAATTTTCTCATCACAATTATTACATCCACATTTTGTGTTGTCAAACCAAATTATTTGATCCAAAGTTGTCAAACCAGTTTATACCGGTGTGCCGGTTTTGAAAGTGGAATGGTCCGACCGTGGTACAATCAGTATTCACGCCGGTTGTGCCGGTTTTAATAAAATATATAAGATAAATGAAAATCCTCAATTCCAAATAAATTAGTCATAAAAAAGCAATTAGAAAAATTATTTCACACAAAATAATTTATAGCTAAGAATTGGTAACTAATACTAAACAATTAGATGCTTAAAAATAAGAGTATATAAAATGAATTTTATTAATGTTTATAATGATTTGTGTAAAATTAAGTATTAGATATATAATATATAAGGTTAATATATACAACAAAGTTGCTTGTACCCTACTGGTGTATAAGTGAGACTAAAATGAACATGAGATACTTGGTTCAAATCTTAAGGAAGGTGTTTATTTTTGGATATAATATGTGTAATATTGAATTCCGGTTTCTGATCTAACCGGTCGGAATTTCCGAAATTGATCGGATCTGACCGGCATTGACTACAGTTAAATACCGGCCTCTTTCCAGCCGGTTTGGTGACCGGTACCGGTTGTACCCAGTTGAACTGGCCGGCACAAAACCGGTTTGACAACCATGATTTGATCCAATTGCATTATTTTGAAACTATTGAACCATATTATCTCATCCAACTCCACCACCTCTACCTACAATAACACCGATTTAACCACGCCGTGTTTGATTCGTTCGGACTGTCTTTCTCTGATTCTTGCCCTTGCAGCTGACCCCCCTAAGTGGCCATGGAGAGTTTCTGCTTGGCTAGGGATTATTCAAGACATTCTAACGCGTAACGGCTTCATCAAGGTTGCTTTCTTCGGACGCAAGCTTAACAAGAGAGCGGATTGGGTGGCCAAATCGCTTGCTAGGAATTTACTCCCTCCAGATTGGATGACAATTCTTAGTATTATTTCACCTCTCCTTGTATCCTGATGCATAGTGTAACTGCTGTCCCATGGGAAATGAAATTGGAAGTTTTCTTGGTAAAAAAAAAACACTGATTTAACAAAGTTGGTGTATTAACGTTGAAATTTGCCACACTTTTCTGCAATAACTTTCTTGTCATGTTTAGGAAGAAGAGAAAGGAACTCTCCCGCTTCCCCAGAAATGGAACAACGGCTTAATTATATCAAAGAAGAGAAAGGAACCCTGCCTGCTCCATCAGCCCTCGGAACCATAAACATCAACAAACCAGGAAACCTCAATACACTATACATCCTCATTTCCAGCAAACTCCAACCCCGCAGAAAACATAACAAAAGGCAGGTAATGGCTGGAACAGGGAACGGAGAAGGGAACAAGAGCAGCTCGGGTGGCTGCATTTAACCACCAGCTCCGCGACTTTAACGGTCACGAAAGGAGGATTTCTGCAGCGTACGAGCCGAAGATAGCCGAGCTTCGCAGAAAGATTCAGGAAGCTGAAGAGCAAGTTGAGCGGGAAGTAGAAGAGGCTCGCAGGAACTACGATGCTGCCTGTGCCAAACTACTGAAGGATTGGGTTGGATGAGCAAGGAAGCGAAGAGTCACTTGAGGGAGATTCCGGATTAATTAACTTTAGCATTTACTTCACTCAGGACCTTCATACTATCTACACTTCATTTGGCAATTAGATATACACCTTTGGCAATTGCTGAACAAATTGTCACTTAAGCTTCTCGCCACTTTCACGATTGAAAGTTAACCGATAAGGAGGCTCTGAGGGTAACTCCTGGTCTAGTAATGGAGGTAAATCGAAGATTGGGTGTTCCGGGTGTTACCTCAGGTGGGGAGAGCTGGTACAATTTAGTTGACATCAGCTTTGGTCCAAACAACATGCTGGTCGGAGGATTTTCAGGACCATTGTGGAATGAGAAGTGGCTATCCATGAAATCGATTCGCTTGAGACACTGCATAGAAGTTTTCGTACTACTAAAGTTACTGAACTGCAGAACGAGTCCAAGAGAAAAGCAACAATAAGACCACCAAAGAGGTAGGAATTGCTCGGAGAAAGATGATGGGTAAACTAAAAGTCTGCAACTTTTTGTACCCAAAGAGGATAAAAGTTTGTACCTTTAATACTCAAATCCAACGTTGATTAAAGACTCTAATACGATGTGAAACAGAAAAACCAGTTTACCCAATAAAGAACGAGAAAGAGAAAAAGTACCTCTTCTTTTGGAAAAGAGTAGCCGACACCGGAGTGAGAAGCTGGCATAATAGCCAACACCACCCATACTATGTCCAACTAAGATCACCTTCTCTTCTTCTCCTGTTAAGGAAGCCATCAACTCCATCAGCGGCCCGAGGTAGTCCGAGACCGAACCCAGCTCGGTAACCTGCTTTGGATGGATCCCAGAAGCGCCCAAGTCGAGAGCGGTCACTTTATAGCCAGCTTGTTTCAGTAAAGGAACAACCTTGTACCAACACCAAGCTCCATGGCAAGCTCCATGGACCAGCACGAAATGATGATGACGACGACTCTGTTTCTCCTCCTCCATCTGGTTCTTCTCTGCTTACAGAAACTCCCCAACCAACCATAATTCCTGTAAGAGAACGAGTACAGTGAATTTATGTTGCTTCTGGAACGAGAAAAATGATTTCATATTTCATACACATTTGTTTTCGTTTGTCACTAAGAAGAGAAAGGAACTCTGCCGCTTCTCCAGACATGGAGCAACGGCCGCTTAATTGAAGAAGAGAAAGGAACCCTGCTCCGTCAGCCCTCAGAAAAGTTTCGCCTTTTTCACATTAAGATATCCACAACATACAATTACACTTCAGTAGCACTCTATAAATTTGCCAGATCAACTTTTACCACGGGCGGCGAAGCCAAAGGCAATCGCTCACTCATCAAGCATACTTGCTGGCAAGCTCCAAAAGGTAAGTGCAGAGCTCATGTGGTTTTGAGAACATTGCCATGTGATCAGCAGAAGATATGGGTTTGACATGTCAGTTGGGTTGTTCTCGATCATCCACCTCTGCAGATCCGGCTTGATAATTTCGTCTGCTTCACAGACAACATAAGCTCGAGGAACTGATCCGTATTTCTCGCTTGTCAGGGCTATTTCAGCTTCTGTTTCCGCATCGTTGAAGAGAGGGCAGGGCCTTATAAGCATCATTCCCAGTGTTAAATCCTGCAGCAAAGGACAGTAGTAGTAGATTATCTTAACCCTTGCAATTCATCAGCAATTCTAAATGTCGACCTTTTTGTGTCGCTTATCAACTTTAGCATTTAGTTAATTAAGCAATTTCAATTTCAGTTACTGGGTCCATCGTAACATTTTGATCTTAGGGAGAACAAAGAATCAGCTTACTAGAAGAAAGCGAAAGGGTTAAACTGTTTACAATATGGGGGTTTTCCAAGCACAACAACATATTTGGGAATTAGATCTACACCTTTGTAATTGCTAAACAAAATTGCCACTTCAGCTTCTCGTCACTAACGAATAAAGATGCTCTGAGGAAACTCCTGGTTTAGTAATGGATGTAAATTGAAGATTGGGTGTTCAGGGTGTTACCTCAGGCGGGGAGAGCTGGTACAATTTAGTTGACATCGCCTTGGGTCCAAACAATACACTGGTCGGAGGATTTTCAGGACCATCATGGAATGAGAATTGGCTATCCATGAAATCCATTTGCTTGAGACACTGCATAAAATTTTCAGTATAATTTAAAGTTAATGAGCTGCAGATCAAGTCAAAGAGAAAAGCAGAGATAAGACAACCAAAGAGGTAGGGGTTGCTCGGAGAAAGATGATGTGTAAACTAAAAGTCTGCAACTTTTTGTACCCAAAAAGGATAAAAGTTTGTAACTTTATTACTCAAATCCAACGTTAATTAACGACTCTAATACGATGTGAAACTGAAAAACCAATTTACCCATAACGAGAAGGAGAAGGGAAAATTACCTCTTCTTTTGTAAGAGAATAGCCAACACCAGGATGAGGAGCTGGCATCATGGCCGCTACAAACACCGCACCAGCTACTTTCTCTGCAAATTTTTCCATTGCAGCAGATATCCCAACACAACCCATACTATGTCCAACTAAGATCACCTTCTCTTCTTCTCCTGTTAAGGAAGTCATCAACTCCATAAGTGGCGCCAGGTAGTCCGAGACCGAACCCAGCTCGGTAACCTGCTTTGGATGGATCCCACAAGCGGCCAAGTCGAGAGCCGTCACTTTGTAGCCAGCTTGTGTCAGTAAAGGAACAACCTTGTACCAACACCAAGCTCCATGGCAAGCTCCATGGACCAGCACGAAATGATGATGACGACTCTGTTTCTTCCCCTCCATCTGGTTCTTCTCTGCTTACAACAACTCCCAACTTCCTCTCAAATAATGATATTTCCTTTGTCCTTGGGATGATGCTACGCGGCCACAAACTTCCAAACCATCACAAGATAACCCACTTTGTCCTTTGGCTGAAAAAAAAAAAAAGCTTCAACTATTAAAACCAAACGTCCATCCTGTCAAACAATAGAGCCTTCGGATGTCAAGACTATCCAAAATGACCCAATTCGTAATAGCTACAATTTGAATTACTGCCTAACCAACGCTGAAATAGTGGGGAAGTTCAAGACGACTAACTTAAAAGCTGAGGAAATTTCCAGAGCCAAGTTAGGCAATTCCTGAACCTCCGTACCTGTTCCTGAACCTCAGTACCAGAACTAGCTCCTGGAACTTGAAAAAGTCGATGGCGGAGTCCAATCGGCAACCAGAAAATTCTATCGACTATCAATAGGAGCACCAATCGGGTCCAACAGTGCGGCCAGTCCCACTCAGTCGGAGAAAATTATGCAACTTCTGCAAGTTTGTATGATGGATGCCTGCAAGAGGCAGGAACATGGTTCGAAAAATTTGATTTTTCGTCCATAAACATAGGCTATTAAGGTTGAAGAATGGGAGAACCTTCAAGGTTACTTGGAGCCACACCTTGGAATATCGAGTAAAACTCTAGCACCTTATTATAACAATATCTCCTTCAGCAGGAAAAGATAGCTCTCTCTAAGCAAGTAGTCTAGGAAAAGTCATCATGATTGCTGCAGAGTTCCTCAAATTTTGTCAACCTGCAAAAACGAACCAACCAACCACAATTTCTTTAAGAGACTGTGTACAATGAATTAAAGTCACTAAAATTCAACGAAAAGGCAGAGAAAGGGACTCAAGGTGGATAACGCACCGTTGTAAGAGAGCTTTAGGGTTATATGGAAACAGATTCTTCCGGTGAAGATTTTCTATAGAAACTTTCAAAGATAGCAGACAATCTTTCGCCTCGATGAATGCAAGCCTTCTGCATTTGTTTTGCTTATAACTACTGTCAGTATCTATCTTAACTTTATCATTAAGAGAGGGAGAAGTGTCCATGGTTGGTGATCCAGGGGATTGGTCTGCCTGGAAGTCAGGACCATCTTCCAAATTTTTTTGCTTTTTTCGAGATAAACTATCCATAGCATTTCCTTCAACAGAGAACTCTATGAATAAATGCCACGCACTGCAAGTAATTCTTAAACACCTAAAAATGAAGGATGATTGATAAGAATAGAACCAGATGGAAAGACATCAGTCAACATATGCAACTGACTCTCAGGATTGACGTGTTAAGACTACACTTAGCATGTCCAAACTGGAAGTTACCTCAATAGATACTCTGCACAACTAATTCCAAGATCCTTGGAAATAAGGTAATCAAGCAGAACTTGATGATCATAGTGCACCTACAAGAGAATGAGAAGTATTTAGAAGATCAAAACAAAAAGGCAGAGAGGCCGTGTGGCCAATTAATATAAAAGCCTATATAAAGGGAAGTCACCTCTGAGAGGAATAGATGGAATAAACTCACTGGACTGAAAGCATTTGAAACTAGAAATCCAATATCCTCTTCTGCATCCTGATATGGTTGTTTCTCTCCCTCTAACCTGAACACATGAGACAACCAATTAGGGTATTTCACCAGTGAAATAAATTGAAATAGTTATACTCACTACTCACTGCTGCTCCAAACAAGACGATGCAGTAACCAACTGCAGGAGAACCTTAAACAATAAGTCATCCTGCACACAAATCAAAAAGTACTTAGAACATGAGACGTGGCAAGAAATCCTTGATTTGCTACTGCCTACAACGGTCTAATATAAAATACTTTTGCTAATATTTTCAAGTAAGAGACATCAATCTTAAGAGAACATGGTCTATTGTAGCTAACTAATCCCTGAGTTAAGAAGCTTCTAACCTCATGCAAGTATAGCTGGAGAAAAGATCTTGCAAAAAGTATACACTTGTCCACATGCATTTCCTTTCCACATAAGAAGCTATCTCGGAGGTGGGCTTGGAACCATTTGTAGAGATCAATAAATCCTTTACTTCTACCAGAAAAATCAGGGTCAGAGATCACGTTGACAGCCGAGAGAGACTTATGAGCTGCAGGAAGTTGCTTAGTATTCTCTCCTGTCGAGCTGATCAAACTGAAGCAGCACCTAAGAAATAGGAGTATGGCCTGCCTTTGAGAATGAAGGGAATGCCTCATATGTTGTGCTTCTCCCTCAGAGAAGCTAGATAGAAACGGGGAGCCTTCTAGGCAATCATTTTGACAAGTCTTAACCCTAGACATGGGTTTCAAAAGTAGCTCTTCAAAGTAATCATGGAGAAGTTGCAACCAGGAGACAAGTGTGGTGCAACTTATATGAGTTCCATAACCATAACTAAGCCTCAGCAGTAACATCTGCAGAAAATTGTTGCAGATCTCAAAAACTTGAACACGTCAATCAACACAACACAAAACTTCATGACAACAGCATATCACTATGAACCAGTAAAACAGTGGAATCTATATATCATTCACTATGTCTTGCAATGCTTTTCAAGACAAGAAATCATACTTTTCTACTTCGAATTAATCTAGCCATGAAAAGAAATGAAGCAAGGTCTTACCAGCAATTTGTGAGTGAAATACTGAAAGGTGGACTGTTTGACCCTATTCTCTGCCTTGCCAAGGCACCAACGAAAAAGTTTAGGCACAAGATTAATAACTATGGGAAGAGTTGGATGTTTATCTTGGAGATGGACTTTGGTTTCTGGAGCTACGGTTTGCTCAACCAATGAGCAAAGAAATGTGATCAAACTCCCCAAGAACACAATATTTGGCTCTTTTGTACAGCACTCGTCCATCCGATCCCAGGGCACATTTGACAGAAAGGGATAGACATATTTTTCGTAAACTTGAAGAAGCTGATCATCAGACTCTTCCTTCAAACTTTTCAGTATATTCCGCAAGATTTGGATTATATGAGCTGCAGTGGACCAGTCTGCGTTTCCCAGATAACGATTTAAGACCATTAAACCTGAGGTTCCAAAATGTAAATCGTCGCCAGCATTTGAAATTGCAGAACAGGACAACACGTGTTTGACTATCAATTCCAGGGAAATCCAGAGCGAATGAACCAAAGAGTCCCAGTTTCTGACCTGTCAAAACATTCACAAACGATTTTCAAAATTGTAAATTGTTATGTACCCTCAATAGACTGACAATGGAAGCAAACCACAAACTCACAGATGGAGCCAGGAGCTCAGAAACGGCCACAACAATCTTTCCAACTGAATGTTGTACGTACTGACTGTCAACTGTAAGTAGAAGAATCTGCATGCCATAGGAAATGACCAGTTACCCCAATGCAACTTCAAATTAATTAACAAGCACATTAGTACAGTAAAACTGATCCTGGCAAAGCATTTTGAAACCACCATGCCTTCCTGGGCAATGCTACTGATACATCCAAATTAACCTCACTCAATTGGATAGATTTAACTCTACATGTTCATCTTATCAAAGCAACTTCAGGCGCAGAAAGAGAGAGGGAGAGAGTGCATACCAAGTCAGCTAGGACTTTCATCAAACAGTTATGCTCCTCGTGTACAACCTCCAATGAACACTCAGAACTCGTGGTCTCCTGTCCCCAAATTCATCTCAGAAACCTTAAGCTTCCATCTGGAAACCAACTTGTTCATAGAAATTCAGAAAATAAAACTTTTCAAGGAGCTTACTTCATCGGAATCAACCTCCATTTCACGAATCCAGACCTGAATCTCTCTGTAAACCTAAAATGGCAGAATTCGTTCAAACTACTGACCACATTTGGAGCATATAGTACACAACTAGGGAGGAAAGATACAGAACCTTAGAGAGTGCAATCAGAAGATTCTTCTCCTTTTCTCTGGTTAAAGACACAGAACCTACGGCCGGCTCCTGTAAAAATAGCAGCGGGCTCAGTTGTTTTAACATAAACAATCAAGCGAACGGAAAATCTAGCTCTTATCGGGAAATCAAATTAATAAACAACTAACGAAGTAAGGATGAAGGAGCTCCTCGACCAGACGGCAGAGACGAGGCAATTCCCAATCGCCGGACATTCTTTCGTGGTGTCGTTCGCTGCCGCGCCGGAGACGGGGACGGAGACGGTGAAAATTTCTATATTTATAAGTTAATCACTTCGGAGAAACGCAGCGTTTTGGAGACAAATGTAATATTGAAAAAGACTTCCTTTTCCTTGTTTTGTATCCGGATGTCAAATACTAGACGGTTTTATGAACTTTTGGCGGGTGAACGGAAGACGGTTGCTTCATGCCGCCATTAACAACCCTCATAGAACTGCACGGTTGTGACCTCGCATAAGAGAGCTCGTCAGCTCCATGCTCTGATCCTTACAACCACAGTCTACACCAACGATGCACTCTCTCCGTACAGAAACAACAACATCGTGTCTATGTACGGCCGATGCGGCTCCATCTGGGAAGCCCAGCAGGTGTTCGACCGAATGCCTGTGAGAAACACTGTATCCTATAATGCGCTTCTTGCAGCCTATTCTAAAGCTCCCTGTCTCGGAATGAGATGTATAGAGTTGTTTAAAGAAATGGGAAGTGAAGGGCTGAGACCTGGTGGGTCGACTTTCGTCAGCTTACTGCAAGCTTGCTCTGCGCTCGACGATTGGTTTATGGGTTCTTCAATTCACTGTCAAGTTTTTAAATTTGGTGGGTCGGATGATGTCTCCATTCAGACATCATTGCTTGGGATGTACTCGAAATTTGGGGATTTGAAGTCTGCATGCCAAATTTTCGACGGGGTGGTTGTTAAAGATGCGGTCATGTGGACAGCCATGATGTTTAACCTCTTCAAGAATGAGAAGTTACATGAAGGGCTTCGTCTGTTCAATTCCATGTTGAAATCTGATGTCAGCCCTACTCAGTTCACATACTCAACGGTGCTAAATGCTTGTGCTAAACTGCGAGAATACATCGTTGGAAGGACGATTCACTCTCGAGTTATTGTTTTGGGTCTGCCACATGATTCAAAACTGCAGAACGCTTTGCTCGATATGTATTCCAGTTGTGGAGACATTGGAACAGCTTTCGATGTCTACAGTAGGATCGAGGAACCAGAATTAGTTTCCTGGAACTCTATAATATCAGGATATGCAGAAAATGGGGAGTCAAGAAAGGCAATGGAATTGTTTATACAGTTATTGAGACTTTCGGTTCCTAAACCAGACGATTACACTCTGGCAGCCATTATTTCTGGAACTGGAGATGACCATGGGAAAGCTCTCCACACCCTGGTAGTGAAAATGGGATTAGAGAAGAATGTCTTCGTAGGAACTACCTTGCTGTCAATGTATTTTAGAAACAGTGATTCCGAGTCAGCACGAAAGGTCTTTTCTTTCATCGAAGAGAAAGATGTTGTTCTCTGGACTGAGATGGTTATGGGTCATTCTAGATTGGGCGATGGGGAGACTGCAATAAAATCATTCCGCGACATGTGCAAGGATGGCCTAAGAAGGGACAGCTTTGCCTTCAGTGGAGGTCTGAGTGCATGTGCTGATCTGGCAACACTGAAACAAGGAGAGATGATACACTCCCAGGCAATAAAAACAGGATGTGATGCTGAAATGAACGTCTGCGGAAGTCTCGTTCATATGTATGCCAAAAATGGTAATCTGCAAGCTTCTCGGTCAGTGTTCTCCCAAGTTTGGCTCCCTGACTTAAAGTGCTGGAATTCTCTGCTTGGTGGATATGGTCACCATGGAATGCCGGTGGAAACATTGAAACTCTTCAAAGAGATGCTAAAACATGGCATCCAGCCAGATCATGTGACATTTCTGACCCTATTGTCCGCTTGCAGCCATGGCGGCTTGGTGGAGGAAGGAATGATGTTGTGGAATTCCATGAAGCAAAAAGGTGGGACTATTACCCCAGGGCCTAACCATTACTCCTGCATGGTGAGTTTACTTTGCCGGGCAGGATTGCTAGAGAAGGCCGAAGAGGTTATACAAGAATCAGCAGCAGCAGCATCTCATTCATCAGAGCATAACTTGGAGATGTGGAGAACCCTACTGAGTGCTTGTGTGGATAAGAGGAATTTGGGATTAGGAATTCGAGCTGGGGAGGAGGTATTGAGATTGGATAGTGATGACAGTGCGACACATGTTCTGGTCTCGAATCTGTATGCTGTTACAGGGAGATGGGATGGAGTTGCTGATATGAGAAAGAAGATGAGAGGAATGATGCTGGAGAAAGAAGCTGGGCTAAGCTGGATTGAAGCCCAGCATGGTGGCATTCAGGCATTCACTTCTGATGATCAAACTAGTCCTGTGATTAATGAAGCTCAATCAGAAGTATGGAGATTGCAAGGGAACATGGGAAGGTCAGAAGTCGATGATCTTGATGCCAAGGATTGTTCTATGTAAGTGGTTGAAAAGGAGATGTTTTGCTTGTTATATCCATCCCAGCAAAGCAATAGATGATCAGCTGGAAGTTTAGTAGGTGCCATGGCCAATTTGGTCCAGTCCAGTATTCACTTTGATCTTCTTTGTTTATAGTCAAATCAAACTATATTCAACTATGAACGATTCAATCGAAATGTCTATTGAATCCAATTTAGTACCCTGTGCCAGTAAACCAAATCCTTGAACTCACTTGATTTTATGCTCACAGAACAAAGTCATACAAAAGATTAACAAAAACTCTTTAATGATCCCTCAATGGGCAATTTCAGATTCCTTGACATAATTGAACAGAGATAACCCAGTCCCTGAAGGAGCTGCTGGTCCTGCTGCTGCTGCTGCTGCCAAAGATGTCTGCGGAGCAGTTGATGATGCAGCAAATGCAGGTAGCAACCCAGCAACTTGATTCGAAGGCTGAGAATTTGATGCCGGCAAATGCAGAGTTGGATGAACTCTCTTAGCAGCAGCCTCTTGTTTCGCAGCCTCACGACGATCCGCCTCAAGAAACGGGTCATTCACATCACCTCGACGCCGCTGGTCTGCAAGGTAAGCTGTCCTCATTGATTCGATATACTGATGTATGCTCCCCACCTGTAGAGACAGAAAAGAAAACATTAACCATTCAGAACCAAGTTCCATAACCTTTCTATGCCACATCATTTTCCACAGGAAACCTGCAACAACCACTTGACCCTTCCGTCTAACTATGGACACCATAGAATTTCATGTAAGAATACAAATGGAATGACCAAACCTGCACATTCATCCAGTGGCAACGACAGATGAGCGGATAGATACCAAGTGTAGGTATAAGTCAATAGGAAATCAAGAAATGAGGGTTAAAGAAACTGGATGTAGCATGATTGAGGTTGACCGGGGATGAAAACATAGTTGGGCTTGAACTTCATGTAACCATGCATGTTTCCTTAGTAGAAAAAGAGGCAGGTTTGTATGGATGTTGATTGCGGAAGACCTTCGTTATAGTTTTTCTATAGGTTTGATAGTTTGGCAGGGCGCTCATGGCACGAAGCTGATTGCAAAGTGGTGTCAATCCATTGAAGATGGGAGACTGACTTTATGATTTGATAAATGGGAAGATTTGCCACCTATGCAGGTCAGTGGGATTCTTCGCGTGGTTCAATTAGTGATGCTTTATTGTACCTGAACTGTGAACCTTTTCACAGTATTTTGCAAGTTACTGTTACTGTGGGAATTTGCTAGTTTAAGTGGTTCATATGGTTACTGCTGGTATGCTGGTACATCTACTGCCTTACCTAGAAGTTAGCATTGTCAGAGTTTCTCTCTCTCAAGCTCACTTGCGATCAAGAGTTGTCGAGGAAATCTAAAGAAATGTGTGCTTAATGTCAAACGGGTTTAGAGGAGAGGAAGTTGTTTAGATGTTCCGACTTATAAAGCTTATGCTACTAATCCCTTTCGGAGAGTTTGGGAGGATATTTGAACTTTTAACTGTCTGTAGTTCCCAGTTAACCCTGCGTATGCTTATTTGGTTTCCTACTCCCTATTAGAAGATGAAATATCCATTTGTGCAGGCAGAAAACTGTTGGTCTTCGCACTCAGTGTTGCAGTTGTGAGATGGTCTAAGGACAGTTCATTGGAGATTGTTTGTACATGAGGTATGTTCCTCACATTTGCATTGCCTTTGTTTGTGTAAAATCAGCTCATCTGGTGTTTTCACCAAATGTAGTTATCAAGCCTGGCACATGTTACATGTACATGCTCAAGTACTTGGAACATCTAAATAATGGGAGCATGTTCTTGGAGCGTTGAAACTTCGAACTGGATATGCCACATCTGCCTTGGTTGAGAGTTTGCAACTGCAGTTTCTGTTGGCAATCCAAAGAGCTTGCTTTCACCGGAGCACTTCACAAGGAGGTAACTGATCGCTGGAAATCTGACCCTTGCTTTCTATGTTGTTCATAATACAGTTGTAGAGTTGGTGTCTCTATCTCCTTGTTAATTTGTGTAATATCTTTGGTTTTCTCAATCTTTTTTCCAGATAGCAAACTTGACCCTGTCTCCATCCAAACCCAACAACCAGAAAACAAATGTTGCACATACCACAGGGCCCTGCCAGTGAAGATTCTGCTAAAAGGCCACCTGCATTTTCAACAACAAACCTTTCAATTTCTCAAAGATACTGGAAAGATGAAAAATCAGTAACGAACTAATGCAATTCAGTTCAGTGCGGTCTGATGTGGTTTTGTTTCAGAGGTCGTGGAACTATACTTAGCCTTAGCCCTTTCAATTTCCATATCATTGTTTTCTCCTCTTTCCAATTTATTTTGGTATCATTTTTCACGACATATATAGTTACAATCGAGGATTGTGCAAAATCTAAGTGAATTGACGTTGTTTCGACTAAGAATTGTGTTTAATTAAGTTTCAATATGAAACTGTCTTTCCATTTTGCATTGTTTTATGTTTTATTTTAAGCTTTCTAAGTTTATTGTTTCTTCAGATGCAACCGGGCATACCTTATCAATGTCGAAAAAGTTAAACTGCTCACAGGCCAAAGTGTGAGTAGATACTCACTGACCCATGAGCAGAGAGGAGAGAGGGAGAGAAGGCCTGGCGCATTTTTGGGCGGGTTTTGGGCGGCCCGAAGTTTTGGGC